GGTGCAGGGGCGGGAGGCAGATTGGGGGTCCCTGCAGGCCAGGGGCTTTCTCTCCTGTGGAGGCTGCTGAGGGCTGTCCTAGGAGGACAATCTCTCTTGGGTGAACGAAGCTCCATAGCAGACGTCCAGGCCCAAGGGCGGTGTGAGGGTACCAAGGTCACCCCCGTTTCCTGTCGTGCTCCCAAGGTGTAGCCACGGTGTCACCAAAGCCACGTGCAGTCTGTGTGGCGTCCTAACCCGCTCTTGAGCGTCAGCGTTTCTTCCCCGCAGCACAGGTGGGAGGGCCCAGAGGGGGCCTTCCTTCAAACCTGCACGACTCCCCTAGAGCCAGAGCCCTGGAGTCCTCTCTCTGCCCCCCTTCCCCAGCCCTGAGCCCTGGAGTCTGCTCTCTGTCTCCCCAAGCCTAACCCCAGAAGTCTCCTCTCTGCCCCCCACAGACCTTCTCTGTGTACCCCCAAGCCCTGGATGCCAGCATTGGGTCTCTGCACCTCCAGCCCTGAGCTGGTGTCTGCTCTCTGGCATACTGGTCTCCCTCCGGATCACAGAGAACCTCACGGGCAGGTCTGTTCAATTTCAGCCTCACTCAGGGACGTTCCCGGTGGACGGCGAGAGCCCAGGCAGGGTGGGACCTCTGGCCGGGCGGTTGAGGCCGAGTCGGGTGGAGGCCGTCCCAGCAGAGGACGCTGGCTGCAGAGGTACGTCACGAGGGTTGGTGGTCTGGGGCCCACTGGCTCTGATCTGAGCACCATCCCCAAGAGGCCTGAGGGTCTGTGAATATGAGGCGACCACAGAGCCTGGCTAGGGATGGGGCTTCCTGGCTGCCTTCCCACCCAATGGCAGGAAGGTCCCTATGGCTGCTGGCGGCTCAGCTTCTGGCCTCAGACACACGGGGCCATGTGTTCTGGTGGCCAGATGCCGTAGGGCCCAACGCCCCCGCTGGTGCCCTGTGCTGGGTGGGCCTGGGTGTGGTGGCCTCTTCAGGGCACCCCTGGTGTCCTGGGCAGGTCCTCAGGCTGTGCCTTGAGCGTGGCTCCTGTTGTCCACGCCTGCCTGGCTCTGGGCCATCTCTGGGGAATGCAGGTTTCTGTGCCTGGCTGTTCACCAGAAGCTTGGTGGTTCAAACCCACCGGGAGACACCTCTGAAGACAGGCCTGTGGTCTACTCCTGTAAAGATTGCAGCCCAGGGACCTGATGGAGCTCAGCTCCACCGGAACACAGGCCCGAGTCAGACCTGGCTAGACCACAGCTGGTTGGTTTGGGGGTGTGGTGGTGCATTGGTTAACGCACTCAGCCATGGACTGAAAGCTTGGCCTCTCAGGCATCCTGGGAGAAAAGTCTGATGATTTATCTCCAAAAACTTGGCCCCGGGAGCCCCAGTGAGCACCCAGGTCGCCATGAGCCAGCATTGACTCCATGGCACCTGACTTGGGTTTCTCCCGTTTGCTGTGGACTTCCTTTCTGAGGATGCCAGGGAAGGGCAGCTTTTGGAGCTTCCTAAGGTGCCAAGGACTCATGGCAATGTGAGCAGCGGTGGGCAGCAGGCACTGCCCGTCCCCCTCAGAAGTGACTCACCAAAGGTACCCACAACAGGGTGGGTCCCCACCACCAATTGTGCCACTGCCACCGCGGGCCAGGCCATGCTAAGGCCCCATCCTCCTCGCCACGCTGCCTGCCAGGGTCCCCTCAAAGGTGAGAGGGAGCCCACTGGAGAGCGCTCCCCTAGAGTGGCAGGACTGCTAGTGCCTGGCAGCGTCTCCAACTGCTATATCTGTGGGCAAAGGGAGCACAAGCCAGGAACAGCCCCAAGGCCAGTGCCCCGTCCCTGGTCTAGCTGAGGAGGCAGAGGTGCCCTTGAGGTGGTGGTGGACGTCAGGGTGCGTTCTGGGCCCTTTGCCTGGCTCAGGCTGGCCTCCCTCTCCTGTGCCTCAGCTCACGGAGGCTGACCCTGACCCTGACCCTGAGCCGAGCCAGAGCCCCTCCTCCCAGGCTCCTCCCCACACTTCCACTTTGATCCCAGCAAACCCTGAGCACCAGCCCAGGTCTGTTGGCATACTCGCTGCAGCATGGCCCCCTGGGCCCAGCGCCCTGGGAGGACTGGGGGCTGCTCAGGGCCTCAGCAGGAGGAAGAGGTCTGAGACCCTGTCACTGAGTGACACGGGGCTATTGTGCTGTCACTGGGCCCCTGGAATTCTCCCCCACCTGGAGGGAGGCCTATGGCCAGCCCAGGCCCGTCTCCATGACCGTCCTGAGGGCTTTTGTCCTGGGCCTGGGCTCCCACACAGACCAGCACCCAGAGCAGGGCAGTGGCCAGCCAGCCCTGAGCAGGGATGGGTGCTGGCCCGCAGACCCCCAGGCTGCCATGTGATGGCACCAGTGGACCCCTGGGGCAGGGGTGGTGACTTAGAGCACTTCGGCATGGGGATGCTGCCTGCCTGCCTGGTGGAAATGCCCCAGCCCTGTCCCAGGGGCGAGAACCCAGGGCGACCGGCCAGTGGCAGGGCCAGCACCAAGCCCTGGGCGTGTGCGTGTGGACTCAGGCAAGTGCTCCCCTGCCTGGTGGGACCGGGGTCGGCGGGTCAGGGTCCCGTGAGGAGCCAGGCCTGTGGGCCCTGGTCCTGTTGTGAGGTGTGTCCTTGGTCAGGAGGCCTGACCGACGACCCTGAGCCTCAGTTTCCCCACCTGTAAAGTAGGGTGATGGCCGTGCCCTCGGGGGGGGGTGCTCAGGGTCCGAGAGGACACCTCACAGCGCCACCATGCAGTGGGCTGCTGCAGCTGTGGCTCTTAGCCACGTGGCCAAGTTCACGGACCCCATGAAGCTACCAGCCTGACAGAAGGGGCAGCTGTGCCCAGAGCCACCCCATTCGGGTCACACCCTTCCCCAGGCTGTGCCTGAAGCAGGAAAACAGGGAGCAAGAGGGATTTGGGGGCTGGGCAGGAAACACTCTGCCCCGTGTACCAGCTTTGCACCTGATCACCACATTGGTTCCTCTCTCCCAAGGGAAGATGACCCCTGGCCACCTGCAGCCAGCGATGACTTCCGGGCTGCCCGGAGGTGGTCCGGGCCCTCCCCGCAGCCGGGCATCCTGGGTGCAGCTCCCCGCGAAGCCTGGCTGGACTCCGGCGAGGTGCCCCGCGCCCCGGGGCAGGCCTGCAGTTGCCCAGAGTGGTCTGCAGGCGAGGAGTCGGCGACCGGAGGGAACGGCAGCGGTTCTGTGTCATCCGGCCGCCTCTCCGGCTCCTCGGGGGGCCACGAGCTTCGCACACCACCCCCTGGGCTCTGGAAGGAGCGGCCTCCCCAGGGGCCCCCGAGGCAGCCCAGGCAGAGTGACCCCAGGTTGGAACGGCTGCGTGACAAGATCCGGGCCCAGGCAGAGTGGCAGGCCAGCTGCAGCTCGCTGGGTACCTCAGCACCGTCCAATGCCTCGCGCCTCTGCAAGGGTCCCCGGCCAGTGCCCCAGAAGAAGGTTCGCAAGGTGGCCCGTGTCCCTGCCACCCAGGCATGCCCAGGTCAGTGGCAAGGTCGTCGGCAAGGGGCAAGGGGTGGGCTGGGGGCCACTGGGAGGGGTGGGCCCGGACCACTGAGACCCTATGAGGAAGAACTCAGGGCTGGGAGTTGAGAGTCTGGGTTGTGGGAGGGTGGGAGAGTATACTTGGGGGATCTCCAGGATAAGTGAGATGAGGTAGGGAAGGGAAGGTGGGGCTGGCCGCAGTGGTGGCATGAGGGAGGACCCGAAAGCCCTGGACCCTGAGACCATGCCTGGCAGTCTTCCTCCCCACAGCTTTGGGGGGCTGCGGGGTGGGGGTTAGCAGCAGTTAGGGGTTAGCAGGCTGCTGGCTCGTCACTCCTGCCGTAACAGGACCCCACAAAGTGGTGGCTTAGAGTAACAGGAAGGGAGCCCCCAGTCTGGAGCTGAGAAGTCTGAATTCGGGGTGTTGGCGGCCGCACTCCCTCCGAAGCTTCTAGGGGTGTGCCCGTCCCTGTCTCTCCTGGTTTCCGGCGGCCCTGTGACCTGTGGACTCGTTGTCACATGGCGCCTGTCGGTCCTGCCTCTGTGTTTCCTCTGTGATAAGGATACGGCTCCTAAGGCATTAGGGCCCACCCTACTCCAGTGGGACCTCGGGTTAACTAACTGAGCCCATCCACCGAGACCCTGTGCCACACAAGGGCACGTCCGCAGCAACTGGGCTTAGAGTTTAACACCGTTCAATCCATCGCAGCCAGGTTGGTGGGGACTCAGGTCAGCAACACCCTGAAGAGCCTCCTGGGACTTAAAGGGGGCCCGTGCTCTCCCCCAGCAAAGCCCTGACGGCGCCGGGCCGTGGGGCGGGGGAGGCATGAGTGGGAGCCCAGCGTCCCGCTGGGGCACATGGCGACACCAGACCTGGGGCATGTGTGACGGCCTGAGCTTGTTTCTAGGGGCACCAGAGAGGGGGCTTCTTTTTCATTTGAAAGAATAATACCTTCTTCTTCTTTTTCTTTATTTAATGAGAAAAGCAGGCGGTTTGTCGAGGGCCACGTAGAAAAGCAGACAAGCAAAAAGACAAAATCGTGGGGAGCCATGCCCCCTCCCCAGCGTTGCCCTGGCAATGCTTCGGCATGTGTTCCTGCAAGCCACGTTCTGCACATGCCCTTCTCTTTGTCACCACTCCCTCCGGCACTGACTGGAACACCCAGCAGTGCCCTGGAGTTGAGCCGTGTGCTCTGGCCCGACCGTAGGGCACTCACGCTTGTTCAGGAAAAAGCCTCCAAGATGCCGAGGCCGGCTCTGGATTCAAAGCAGTGAGGCCTCAAGCTTACTGCCCAGAGACTTGGATGTCAGGGTGGGCTGTTCAGTGACACCCCGTGTGTCCCGATGACCCCGGGTGCGCTGTCAGGG